CCCCGGGTTTTTTTAAGGCCAAAAAAAAAAACGGGGGTTTTTTTTGGGGGGGTTTTTTAAAAAAAAAGGTTTGCTTTTTTCCCCAAATTTTAATTTAAAAATTCCCTTTGGGGCCCTTTTTTTTTTTAAAATGCCCCCCCCCCCCCCCCCCCCCCCCTCTGTCTAAGAGGCTCTGATTTTGAGTATTCTCCTCAGACGTCCCATTTCGGGGGCCTCCATTCGAGTCCAGCTCTCGAGTCGATACTAAAGAATTGTTTAACCACAGTACATACGCCATTTCAGGGTTCTTATTTCTTGTGTTCACTGCTATAATAATAACAAAAAATAGGCGGGGGGGGGGGGGTGTCTCGTGGTCTAGAGGTTAAGGTGTTCGCCTCCAATTCAATAGGTTGTGGGTTCGAATCCGGATAGCTACGGAAAATTTTCTTCTTTAAAAAATCTCTCTTTTCACATCTTTCACTTCTCTCTAATTACAATGTTCTGTCGACTGCTTTCGTCTCCACTTTCTGCCCCCCCCCCCCAACCCCCAACCCCCTCACCTCCTTTGCCCCCCTCCCCCCTCCTCTGGGCTCCTGACTCTTTCTGCAGCCTTTTTACTGCCACTCCTTGGCTCCTTCTTACTGCTGTCTTTCTGCCACACCCCTGATCTTCTGGTAGCTGATCCTCACCTAGCCTTCTCGGACAAGGGCGAAAAATATCGGAGGTCCCGTATGCAAGTTGCGCACGTTAAAGATCCTTTGGTGGTAAAAAAAAAATTCAAAATGTTTGACCTTATGCAGTTACGAGCGCCGTAAAACACTTACCTTTTACCAACAAAAATATTATTATTATTAATAATAATAATAATATTTATTTTTTTATACATGTAGAAGAGGGTTTTACGGCGCTCACAACTGCATAAGGTCATAATGAGCGCCAAGGGGTGGGTGTCAACAGAGAAGTCTTTACAGGGAATCATCAGACTTAGACTGCTCACCTCTCTAGCTTCAACAGCACAAGGTCTGCTTCGACTATCAAGGCACCCCGGAAATAGCAGGTCACAAGAGAGTGACAAACATACAAAAGAAGTAGAGGAAAATGACAATAGTAAGGATCAGGAAAGAAAAAGCAGCAGTTCCCTGTTGTAGATCAGGCACAGTTATGCGCGTGACATGAGTCAGCCCATTTACAATTCTACTATGCTTGAACGAGAAATTCCCCCCTTTGGGAATGGCCTAAAGACTTTACAGTCAGTGGCACTGCCCCGCGGGGTTTAATAATAATAATAATAATAATAATAATAATAATAATAATAATAATAATAATAATAATAATAATAATAATAATAATAATAATAATAACAATAGTAATAAGTGTCGAGCGAGTTGAGATGCTTCCCAAAAATCCTTGGTATCTCATACAAAGATGACACCACAAATGATGAAGTTAAAACAACGAATCAAAAATGAAATCGGACCATATGCTGACCTTTTCACTCTGGTCAGAAAACGCAAACTGCAATGGTATGGCCACATCACCGGTTCATCCGGCCTTGCCAAGATGATCCTGCAAGGCAGCGTCCAGGGGAAAAGGAGCAGAGGCAGACCGAAGAAGAGTAGGAAGGACAACATCAAGGAATGGACAGGCCCGGAACTCAAAGACACGCTCAGGAAAGCTGAAGACCGGAAGGAGTGGAGGAAGCTGGCGGCCAAATCTTCAAAAGCGCCCCGACGGACATCCATCCAGTCTATGGGATAGGTGAAGGTGAAGGTGAAGGTGAAGTGTCGAGGATTAGATATGTTACATGAGAGTAACAATAAAAGAAAATGCGGAGGAGAAGGACGATAGATATTTGATAATAAAGAGGAAGCAAACTGCACCAGGGCATCTGCCAACCACCAATTTGTTCACAACACTAATTATATTGTACCACTATAAGATAGGGAAAAAGCATACTTTGTAACTGAGTAAGGCATAATAGTATCTATAGCAAGTGCGATAAACACACGTCAGCACTTATTATATACCACTTTGACAAGGAAAAACGCGTCTTTCTTTTCTTTTTTCCCCTTTTTTTTTTGGGGGGGGGGGGGGGGGGGGTAAGTGTTCTCAGTGCTCGCAACTGCATAAGGTCATTAGCGTGCGGGACACATAAAACATTCAGTTGATAGGACATTTTGAATGTTGCCCGGGTCGCGGCCGAAACCTACTCTTATCGATTTTAGATCACCAAGGGATCTTTAACACGCGCAACTTGCACATGGGAGCCCCTCCGAGATTTTTCACCCTTATCTGAAAAGGCTGGTTTTAATCCGGGGGGGGGGGGGGGGGGGGGCTCATTTTACGACCACGCCCGACTCGCCGATATAAAAACAAACGTGTTTGTTTTCAGGCGACCGAGTCGACCGATCGTCCCGACCCGCCGTAATGGGCACCTCGTGTAAGATCTTACCTACCCTAGGTCAGAGGTGAGGCTGAAAGACAGCAGTAAGAAGGAGTCAAGGAGTAGCAGTAGAAAGGTTGCAGAAAGAGTCGGGAACCCAGAGAATGGGGCAAAGGAGGTGGGTGGGCGGGGGCGAAAGTGGAGACGAAAGCAGACGACAAAATATAATATGGTATAGCAGAAAAAGAGATGAAAAGAGAAAATTTTCCGTCGCAATCCGGATTCGAACCCAGGACCTATTGAATGAAAGGGGAACACTTTAACCTCTCGACTACGAGAGCCCCCCTTTATTTTCTAACTAGTGACCCATACATAGCAAGTGCGATAAACATACTTCAATACGCGTTGATCAAAGACGTTAACCTGGCTGCGTTTAGCTTATTTTGTATTCTTAATAATCAATGACCAAAACATGCACATATATATATATATATATATATATATATATATATATATATATAT